TCTTTGTAAAAACTTCAATTGAATTTCAATAAAGTTAAAGGCATGGCCTCACCGCTAATATTTAAAAAAAAAAAAAATTAATAAAGTTTTTTGTTAGGCTATCAAAAGTTTTAATTAATGCTATTACATTCCTAAATGATTCATTTACTAGTTTCTTACTAGCACAATTAACGAGCTCGATAATGGAATAATAAATATCTATTATTAACCTAAAAAGATTCGAACAATATGCTTGCACAAAAATGTAAGATTTCCGCAAAGTTATTATTAACAGAAGCAACCGTATGTTATGATTATAATTCCGCACCATTTTTATTATAATAAAAATGGTGTTGGATTATAATCATAACATGTACTAGCGGAATGATCTGGTATTGTAAAATAATTTTTTTATATGTTGCGCACCGGGTGAAAGATCAGTCGTGTAACATCGACGGTTCCTCCTGTTATAACTAATAAAAAATAATATTTTCTTTTGAACTCCACGTTAGCAAGATAAAAAAAATCAATAGTTTCACAAAATACAAATCCTTTTAATTTTGGCCAATCAGAGCTTTTGATGATTAGCCAATCAAACCAAATTTCTATCTTGCTATTATTGCCATGCGTAATATGTATGTCGATATAGATTACTTGATCCTGCCAGATAAAATTTTTACTTTGATCAATTATTATTCTATTGATATATAACATTTCTGAATTATTGATAAGCGAGTGATTTTTTTTACAGCGTTTTTTTTTTCTTTTACTAGCAAATAGAATTCAAATATTTATTTCAATGCTTTTTTTTGTAAATATCTTTTTGACAAGAGATTATATACTTATTATAATAATTTTTTGTTTTTTAAAATTCGTCTAAAAAAAATGTTTTAATATCTAGTCTAATTTCTAAAATAGTTTAAGAGATTATCAGAGATTACCATGGATGGAAGCATAAATTAGTTCCTGACTATTGCTACCGGTATTCTCCAAGTAATTATTATATTAAAAATGTTATGCAACACCAAGCATCCAAAAAGGTGGTAAACCTCGTCGTCTTGCTTCACTCCCTATCCCAATTCTTGTATTTAATTCATTATCATCTATTCGATTTCCCAACGTGAAATTCATACTGTCACTAACATTTGCTAAATGTTGAAAATATTCAAGTTCATCTTTTGGTTCTTTCCTTGTACATTGTTTGAATTTGTTAATTATATAAGCAGTCTTTGCTATATGTATCAAAGATACATCATGTATCTTATTAGCATATAGTTTTAAATGTTCCATAACAGCTTTACTAATCCTTTGTCCATCTTTAGCTGTATATTGCCATATATCTGAACCGCAATGCCCATTTTGTACACCTCGTATAAGTAACAACCAGTAATGTAAATTTAAAGTTGTATATCTAAAAATGTTCTCATCATAATCTGATGGTTTAATTTTACCAGTATCAAGTAAATTCTGAACATACATTATCTCATAATTTTGTTTAATCTCATGTGTTGATAAATCTCTTGAGACATGAAATTGTTTTCCAATTCGCATTCGAACACGATTAACTATTCTAAGATAAAGTCTTAAATCATCAACAAACCCTGCCAATGATAATACTTGAAGATCAAATATTATACCACGATGATCGGAATTTCTCTCAGCTTTGGAATTTATGAGAACCTCTAACCAATCAGAAGCAAACATTCGAAGTTCCATATATTCTTTATGAGTAAGTATATTTGTACGATAGAGAAGTCTACATGCATCTAAAAAAAAGCTAGGGTCAGCATCGGTTATATTTGCTAAAAGTGAAGTATCAACTTTTAAAATTTTTGGAATGGTTCGTGGAATTTTATTTAAATTTGGGAAACCATAACCTTCGACATTAACGGATTCAAAATCAGAATCAATAGAAGTGAATTCTGAATTATCTCGATCTTCAATGGCGTAAGAAGAAAGAACAAAAGTTCGAATTAAATTGGCAGCCCATTTAGCATATTTCTCATTACCCGAAAAATAATGAGCCAAAACCAAAGTCATTACATTTTCAAAAAATGAATCAGGTGTAGAAAAGTATTCCTTAAAATTATTATTTAGAGAGACCTTGTTATCATCGACATTTGGAAGGAAATTTATAGTCTTATCAACAGATTCAACGGGTTGATGAAATAAATTGTAAATATTTGATTTTACTTTCAAGAAATGCACAAGAGTATTCTCTTCATCTTGAATACCACGTTCCGATTCAAATAGATTAATGACAACAGATGATATTTCGTCAGCACGCTTGATCAACACTTGAACTGTTTCAACTACATTAGGGACTTGTAACCAAAAATTCGATCTTGCTTGACTTAATAACTTTTCATCATAAAGAAATAATTGAAAAGGATTAAAGCCATGAACTTTTCGGGCAAGTCGTTCATCTAAACCATCTATAAAATTCTGAATTGCCAATAATCGATTAAACGAACGTAATGCACTGGCTTCTTTCTGATTCAGTTCTTGTGATGCTTGACCGGAAAATAAACGAAAAACCCATCCAATTGTTTTATATTGATCACTCTCAATAAATTTGTAAGAATCATGATGAGATTCCCATGGAGCAGATGTTCTGTTAAAATTTCTACTAGTAGTTGGGACACCTAAACGCCATAACATATCCAACTAAATAAAATTATAATTGTTAATTAAAATATTATAGTCATTTTTTTTTTTTGGTCATTTTTTGATTAACAATACGTATGAAAGAAATCGATATGCACTTTTGGTCTTCTACCATAACGCATATTTCCGTTAAAAGTTTTATTAGAATCATGACGAAAGATGATTTGAGGTTCTTCTGGAGTGATAGGTCGTGTATCGGATCCATTTAATAATTGAGAGTTATTAATCAATCTCGCCATTGGTACAATGAAATATTTATATTTTTCACCCCATTTATATAAATGAGATCGAATATCAGCAAACGCATTAGGAGTCAGAAAGCAATTTCCATCGAATGGTAAAATCCAACTAACATTATGTTGAGATTTACCATGAGCGAGAGCTGCATTCCTACCACCATTCTAAAAAGAGAAATGTATTTAAAATTGAAAAATTGACTAAAAAAAATAAAAAATAAAAAAATGTATATATCCTTATTAGATTTGAGTAATTGATAAAAAAAAATTTAAATTACTTACATTATTAATGGCATATAAATTTTTTTCATGATAAGTATAATCAATTGCCCTTAATTTGCTAACTTTTGAAAGATTCATAAATTCATTTGAATGAAAAAAATCGGGTTCTGGAAAATCTTCGAGACGAAAATCATATTTTAGATATTCTTGTTCATCAAAAGGTATTCGAATATAATTTTGTTTATGTAACTTTAAGAGATTAATTATAGTATTTTCGTATTCAGTATTCACAATTCGGTTAAGTATCCACCATTTTTTTGTGTTTAAGAATTCAGATTCATGTTCTAATATAAATTTCAAATTCTTCAAAGTTTGGCCGGTTTTATGACGTGGAGGAAGGTCGTTACCAAGAATACGGTATAATAGAATTTGGCCTCCTATATTTATTGATTGTGGAGATACTAAAAAGTATTTTGTTAAGCTGTTATTATGTATAAACCAGCTATGTATTAAATAAAATCCTATAAATCCCATCATGATAATTGTAAGAGCCTGACGAAACCATCGTGATTTACGAGAATAAACAGCATGTTGTGCAAAAGTTTTGTCAAAATAAATGCTATTTGAAGTTTGATAACGAGGTAAAGTTTCTCGGTTTTTAATAGTTGTAATTCTTTGTTCAATGTTTCTTCGAGCAAATGAAGAATATGAATTAAATGTATTATTCCTATTTGATTGTGAGTGGTAAAAAGCCTGAGAATCAAGTCTAGTTGAGTGTATTGATGTCAATGGAGAACTTGACAAGAACTGTGTTTGGTGAGGCTTCATCTAATAATCTATTATTTTATTCTTATATATATATTTTTTTTTAGCAGTTATTTTATGCTATATCGAATAATGAAAAGTGACGTTTAGATGATAATAAAATTCGTAAAATTAAAATACGAACGGCTTTCTTTTAGTAAAGATATTTAAAGCATGAAATTAATAAAATTGACAAATAAATATGTAGTTTATTTAACACACAGATCCGATTACTGTACCGATGAATCAACAAACATGGCGCCGAGTAAACATTATTACGAAGATATTTCAGGAAAAAGTGTTGTAATATTAGAATTCCAAGTTAAATATAAATATATAGGCTTAGTCATGTTTCAGCATTCAATCAATTACATATATACTTCGGAATAATTTATACGTAGGTTTTAGTTTTTATAACAGGTAATTAAGGTATAAACTAGTGGTTTACGTATTTACTGTACGTATTTACTGGATGCTTGATGACTTACATACTGTATTACACTTAATGCAAGTTTTAATTCGGTATAATTAACATCTAAATCCTGGAGAAAGGATCTGGTAATAAAACTTACTGCCAACCTTAGACAAGATTTTCTATGATCGACTAATTTGAAGTTCATCTGATTGGCTAATAATTCTATTTAATTTTACACATTATGTATTTATGCAGTTTATCAATGTTATAGGTTTCCGTAATTGAGAAAAACTTTAATCTTCATCTGTTTGAAAAAGCTAGCTTAATACGTAGTAATTTATTTACTTTTGAAAAGTTACTACGTATTAAACTAGCACTTTCAAAAAAAATGAGAGTCAAAGATCTTTTTTGAAAGCGCATATTTGAAAGCTGTATAAATAATGTAAATTAAAATAGAAATTATTAGCCAATGGGACGAACTTCTTATGATCGACTAATTTAACTTCCACTAGTATTAATTACTTAATATATTGGAGAGTATTTTAAGAAACTAATGAATTAAAATGAAAGTGTTGGAATGCGACAACCCAAGAAACAGGTTTTTCTTTGCTCATCTTGTATATCTCATTTTCAAGATGATTTTGTGAATTGTACGAGCTAAAATCAAGAGATTGACACATTCATTAAATATACTCAAACGATTGCTTCTAAGTCAGAGAGAGCTGTTTCTTGAGCTAAATGAGGAATGCTTACTAATGTTAAAGTGATTGGTGAAGACGGTTTAGATATAATGTATTCTGCCTCCTGGTCAAAAAATATTTATAAGCATACCGGATGAAATTGTCGAGTGACTATTAAACAAAATAAAAGTAACTTTAGATTGAAATATTATGCTTGAATAATATTAGGGCCTTATTTCATTGTTATAATTAGCAACACTACGTTATAAGCACATATGTGGTAATTTATGCCGATTTATGTCGAAATTTTAATTGTCTTGTCATGAAAGACAACTTTTTCATATACGTGCTGGAAATATCTTGATGTCTCATTTTTTTTACGGTGATGTTCCAATACATTGCTGACGTGGTATAAATCGCATATATTCAATGGCAGCAAGCCATACCAATAAAAACTATTGGTTAATTCATTTACTTTAGTTATGAATAATCTGAACAATTTTGTGAAGGCAATTTCTATTCGTACACTATTGTATGAAATACGGGTACATATATATAATAGCTCAAAATTTTGCTTATGAACCACTCTTTGGTAGAGTGTCCAAAATCGTGCAAATTAAACCGCATTTTTATGCAATATAAAAATTTTTGATTATGTGATATCAGTGCATTTAAATTAGGGATTAAAAACAAATACGTAGCAAAAACAATAACTAGCAATTATTACTATGCCACACTGTAATTGTTTAAATAATTACAAGGTAAATTTAGATCAAAAAAGTTAAGTATTAAGTGCATTGGTTTTTACTATGTTGATATTAGGCAATATTGCATTTTGCACAAATATTGCACTACGTAGTTACATCCAAAAAGATAAATTTACCACACATTTTATGTGTCTAAAATGTAATTGCACACGTTTGGACACTACTCTTTTGGTTCTAACAAAAAAAAAAAAAAAAAACTTAATTTGTTTCTTTAAATTTTACATTAAATGATCTACAAATTATATCCGTGTTTCATACGTACATTGGTGTAAATTAATCAATTAGGAGAAGGTGAAACCCGCACTGTAAATTAATAAAACTCGCTACGTAGATCACATTAGGGTGAAATCCGCGTTTTTTATTATGCAAAAGCGGATTTCACCCCCATGTGTAATCTATTTGGATTTTACTACAATGCGGGTCGTAATAAAATTTTCTTTTGTAAATACTTACGTATCTACGTATTAATTTTTGTAGACATTGAGTTATATTATAATCTTTTATTTTCACATCTACTAATGAGCCATTATATCTATAATTTTTATAATACGTACTGTAATAATGGAGCTGACAGTTAAGAAAGCCTCCAGAGAATTGTCAAGTAATGTAAAATCGCGATTCTAAGAATTATACGGATTAATAAATACATGTAAATATCACTGATCGCAAATTACCTATTTTAGTGGCCTGCTTTCAGTTTTAAAATTTTTTTTCCGGCCCGGCCCGTCCCGCACATATGTAAATTTTTCTTCGGGCCGGGCCACGGGAGTGTCACACCTTTTTGCAAACCGCTCAAGTCCTCAGAGTTAGTTATGCAGTGATAAATTATATAAAAAAAGTAAATCCTATTAATATTTAAAGTCATGTGTGATCATATGAATTTTGATTTTTTAATTAAAATTAGGATAAGGGAAAGTTTTAGTAATGAAACTTGTACGTATATATCGTAAGAATGGAATTAAGTGGATTTGGAATCTCCTAGTTAAATTAGGATTAGGGTTAGGGTATATATTCGTAAAATTATATTTTCAATGTTTTTGTTATGCCTTGAGGCACTTGTTTCTTTTTTCTGTTTTTGTTTCATCAGGTTGATTCATGTTAATCAAAAATAACACATGATTGTATATGTACGGCTTTGGATGACTCCTTATTTAGAAACAAAGTATCTAAAATTTAAAGTTGGTGTTTATTTCAATTTAAGATTAGAAAAGACGTTAGAAATAAAATTGCTATTCCAACATTTTTGTTAATGCCCCAAGATAAGCTCGGTTTCTTTACTTTTTGGCTTCTTTTTTGTTCATATTGCATTTTTTTTTTCGTTTCATAAAATTTATGGTTCTATAATTAATTAATATAGATCCTCCAATAAGGAAAGTAAAAATGGGTCGGCAATATTGGTTAACTGGTTTAATATTTAATTTACAGCTGTTCTTATAAATTCTGGAACAACAGATAATTGATCAGCCAAATTTGAATCGCCGAAAATTCATTTCCGATAACGCAAACTTATCGAATTTGGCCGATCGAGTTTTCATTAGTTGTCCCAAAGTAACTATAATACAGTCTAACCTCTCTATAACCACACTGTCTGGATCATAGTAACTTTTTTAAAAAATGTGCTTAGTTAGTTTTAGAATAGATTAAGAGAGAATTTATATGATGTGCATATATGGGGTGACTATAGGAAGGTTCGACCGTATTAAACTTGGATTAGACCAAATTTATTGCATTTCTAATTTGAATATAGGATAAAATTAGTAAACTTTTTTTGATGTATTATTACTTATGTCTTTAATTTATTGTTACCGATTTGAAACTTAAGGCATTTCAAATATGTATTAACAAGATATATGAACGCTTAAATGCAAGGTAATATAAAAAATTTAGATATTTAACAAAAAATTTTATATATTAATATCAAAACAATTACGTAAATAAATATATTTTTAAATAAATAATACCGTACAGCGCGGACCACAGTGCCCCGGGTATAATACATTCCATAGCCAAATTTCAACTAGTATCCGTGGTATTATACACAGAGGGGTACTTTGTACAGGAGGGGGTATAATTCTATATTTAGTACCCGAGTACATATATTGTATAATATCCGGATATATACTGTGTTTAGTATCCGGTATTTACAATGCATGTATTCGGGTATGTTCATTGAACAATACCCGGGTACATATGATCTTACATGCATGTAGGGGTGTTAAAAACTTGAGTAAACTTGAGTCGGCTTGGGTCACATCTGAAGTCGACTTAGTCGAACTTCAAATAACAAAAAATCATATGATTGATTTTCATAGATTTATTGAATTACAGTGTCAGTATTACACAGTATTACAGTATTAAGATGGATAATGATAAAAAATAAAATGAAAACTAAATATGCGATAGTGAATATAAAACACTATATTTTTTTTATTTAATAATTCCCTCCTCAAATCAGTTTTTTAGGCCTAAAGAGGTTCTTACTGTATCTTCAAAAAGACTAGTTCTAGTAAGATCTATAGTATTCTTAGCAATGAAAAATACATGCTCACAGAAAATGCTTGTAACCTGCAAAGCAAAGTAGTCTGCTGCAATGCAGGTTATAGTTGAAAAATAATAAGCATTAGTTTTCCACCATTGCAGTAAATTTACATATAGTTCATAGAGTAAGGCAAGATATGTCACTATTTCATCTTCTATGTTTGTTACAATTTCTCTAATTTCTTCTTCTTGTACTTGCATTAGTTTTTTAAAAGTTTCTAACAGATCTTTAAATTTGATAACTGGTTCTGATTTACTTTTGTTATATAATAAATAAAGAGTTTTTAACTGATCAATAACTAATATATTTTCAGTTTCATAAAATGTTTCAAACTTAGTTGATGGGTTAAGAATATCAGAAATTATAGAAGATTTCTAAAGATAAACCCAATATTCATTTAGTTTACATTTTATTTCTTTAACTGTTTCATTATATGTATTAAAAACATAATGGGTAAGATGACTTAATAGTCCTTGAATAATTAATTGTAATGATCTATATAAGAGTTGCAAAGTATCTGAAAGGATCAAAGTTGCTATATAAAAAAGCTTGAGAAGTTTCATCATTTCTTCAATAATTTTTCAGTTATTAGTTTCCAAATAATCATCTATCAAATTTAGATA